CATCTGTTCGGGTCCCAACTATGCACAAATAGTTAAGCCCTAAACTGGGGTCAAAACACCATGAAAGTATAAAAATAGGTTTTAATACCAGAATTACTTTTCGTAAAAAAAATATTACCAGCAATATATTTTTTAAGAAAAAAATATTACCAGCAATTATTTTTTTTCAGAAAAAAAAACATTACCAGCAATTCATTTTTTAAGAAAAAAATATTGCCAGCAATACATTTTTGAAGGAAAAAATATTACCAGAAATACATTTTTAAAGGAAAAAAAAACATTACCAGCAATACATTTTTTAAGAAAAAAATATTACCAGCAATGCATTCGTGAAAAATTATAATTACCAGAAATACATTTTTTAAATATATATATATATATATATATATATATATATATATATATATAAATATATATATATATATATATGTGTATATGTGTGTGTGTGTGTGTATATTACATGAATCATTCATACAATAAACAGATATTGAAGAAATTACCGGGATGTAAAAAACAAATTTCTTTCCATAACTGATGATGTCTGTACGCACAGATGAAAGCTTGTAAAAAAACAAAAAAGACCTTATGCAACTGGAATTTATAAACAGAGATCATAACATTCATCTACAGGTTCGGGGTTAATGTAATTTATTAAATTTGTTTGAGAAGATGTATTCTCGCCATTTATATCATTAACTTCAATATCTGTTTTTTGTATGAATGATTCATGTAATGTAAATTGAACTGCACCACATACTTGATATATATATATATATATTAGCAGCAATACATTTTTGAATAAAAAAATGTTAGCAGCAATAAAAATCTTCTGGGCATTATATAAAAGTTGAGATGTTGATATGCCATAAAACAAAACAATCCAAACCAAACCGAACGGATTTTTTTTAAATTATAATTTTTGAACGTTTTTAGAACTTATTTGGAAATTTTTTTTTTTTTTTTTTTTTTTGTCAGCGGGTAATCATAAATTAGTAGGTTAAAATTTTAGCGTCTTTTTTAGGGGAAAACGTATTGATTTGTAAAATTCTTGCAAACATGAGTTTGTTCAGATTTTAATGAAACTTTTAGGACGCATTCATAAGAGAATATCATTGCTTTTTAAAAGTTTATTTTTTATAAAATCGTTGTAAAAATATATTTTTATTTTACATTTGTTAACCCACACTTATTTTATATTAGAAATTTTAAGAAAATATTTTTGTAGCGCTTACTGCTTATAAAAGTTATAAGTCCTTGGAGAATTTAGATCATGAAATTTTTTTTTGTCAGGGAGGATATCTACTTACAGAAAATTTGCTCGGAATAGTAAAAAAAAAAAAAAAATGAAATAAAACTAAAACTTTAATTAATTCCAATTTTTTTTAATTGCATTTATGTATAAAATATATTAAAGACACAATTGTCTTAAGAAAAACTTTTTCGATGAAAAATGAATTTTTACAAGAATTGTTTTCATTTTATAAAAAAATTTAGTTAGAATAATTTATAAACTTTTAAATTTTTTCTAATTCAGTATTAATTTGTATAGGTCAAGTGATGTTATTATTAAGTAAAAACTATATTTACTAATCATAAATGTAAAAGTGCAATACATTTCAACGACTCCTAATATTTTTAAAAGAATTTGAATTCATTTTATGTGTGTAAACGGGCTGATTGTTTTAAATACGGATTCCCAAATGTGACATTATCAGAAAATAAAAGCAGTAACTATAGTAAACTTAAATTTTTTAGTTAATGGCCCAAAGCGTCTTGTTAAATTTAGACTATAAAGCCAAAGTACCTAAAATTCAATAAAATATTAAACTGCTTAAAATAATTTCTTAAGTTTTTAAGATTATTGGTTATATTAAAAAGTTATTAAAAAAATTATTAAAAAATTATTAAATATATATATATATATATATATATATATATATATATATATATATATAAACAATCGTTCACGTTATATTCGTCAAGTAATTGTTACAGTTATGTTACCCTTAGAAAAAGTTCCCAAACATAAGTCTGTCGAAAGTGTTGTCAAGATGAGTTCGAATTCCAGTCGAATTCATTAAGTTCATTTACACACAAATACTCATTGGGAAGGTATGAATCTGTCTCTTCCCTCCATCTATGGGGTAAACAGCAAGAGAGACTGGGCACGCTAGCCATGGTTGGCAAGCAGTGTAGGAGAAAAAGAACACTGAATTCAAAACCTTAATAACTGTACATGATCACCGATTGAAGGCAATCTTCAGACCATGAAGACAGAAGATGACGTTCAAGCAAGTAACAGATTGTCGTCAGTCAGAGTAGATCTCACTGGCCATTTTTATATACACACGCTCTATCCTTAAATATTAATAAATATGCCATAAATTAAAACTATATATAGTTTATCACAAACAAACACACACACACACACACCTATTTGCCTATGGAATTAAATTATTATTCGTTTTTTAAATTGTGATAACATTATCTATCTATCTATCTATCTATCTATCTATCTATCTATCCTAGTTTCGTCAATATCTATCTATCTATCTATCTATCTATCTATCTATCTATCTATCTATCTAAACAAGTCGCGTTATTATCTATCTATCTATCTATCTATCTATCTATCTATCTATCTATCTATCTATCTATCTATCTATCTATTTCGATGGAATTAGCCATTAGAAAATGATGAATTAACATCGCCCACACAAGAATAAATGTAGGCAAAACTCTTATTCCCAAGACAGATTCTGGTTTCATAAATTAAAAAACCGGATCCATATGCTATTAATAATTTCATAATATTTTCAATTCTGGTTCTGATTTATCTTAAAGATCTGAGCGAAAACAAAACGGTCATCTGTTCTCATGAGATGAATACCTAATTAACCGGGTTAAATGGCGAATTGCCTTTGCTCAGGAAAGGAACATCGTCACCATCAATGCTATCGATTTCAAAAATTTGTCTCAAGAATAAAAAAAATATATTAAAATTGATTAACTGAACAGTACAAGGCCCAAATTTCCACAATATTTCAGTGAATTTGACAGAATAAAATTTAATACGTCTAATACAAAACGTAACCTCAGGTTTTGCAAAATCCATAGCGCCCTGGGTAAAGAGTTTAAGGCTTACACCAAAAAAAGCTACATGCCGGTTATTATTTTTTTTAAGTATATCACCCCAAGGAAGGTGAGAGTGCCACTAGCACTCAAGGGGTTACAGAGAGTGAGAGCAAGAGTAAAGAGGGAGGGGTTACAGAGAGTGAGAGCAAGAGTAAAGAGGGAGGGGTTACAGAGAGTGAGAGCAAGAGTAAAGAGGGAGGGGTTACAGAGAGTGAGAGCAAGAATAAAGAGGGAGGGGTTACAGAAAGTGAGAGCAAGAGTAAAGAGGGAGGGGTTACAGAGAGTGAGAGCAAGAGTAAAGAGGGTGGGGTTACAGAAATTGAGAGCAAGAGTAAAGAGGGAGGGGTTACAGAAAGTGAGAGCAAGAGGAAGAGGGGGGTTACAGAGAGTGAGAGCAAGAGTAAAGAGGGAGGGGTTACAGAGAGTGAGAGCAAGAGTAAAGAGGGTGGGGTTACAGAGAGTGAGAGCAACAGTAAAGAGGGTGGGGTTACAGAAAGTGAGAGCAAGAGTAAAGAGGAGGGGGTACAGGGGAGGAGAGCAAGAGAAGAGGGAGGGGTTACAGAAAGAGAGCAAGAGTAAAGAGGGAGGGGAGTACAGAGAGGAGAGCAAGAGAAAAGAGGGTGGGGTTACAGAAAAGTGAGAGCAAGAGTAAAGAGGGAGGGGTTACAGAGAGTGAGAGCAAGAGTAAAGAGGGTGGGGTTACAGAAAGTGAGAGCAAGAGTAAAGAGGGAGGGGTTACAGGGAGTGAGAGCAAGAGTAAAGAGGGAGGGGTTACAGAGAGTGAGAGCAAGAGTAAAGAGGGAGTGGTTACAGAGAGTGAGAGCAAGAGTAAAGACGGAGGGGTTACGGAGAGTGAGAGCAAGAGTAAAGAGGGAGGGGTTACGGAGAGTGAGAGCAAGAGTAAAGAGAGGGGGTGTTACGGAGAGTGAGAGCAAGAGTAAAGAGAGGGGGTGTTACGGAGAGTGAGAGCAAGAGTAAAGAGAGGGGGTGTTTGGAGAAAGGATAAAGAGAAGGACGGGGATCAAGATCAACGCATCAGAAGATGTGAATTGACATAACATTGAATATTTGAAAATTATAGCTATCAAGTAAGCAAGGAAGAGAGTTCCACTGTCGCTAAGTGCGAGATAAGAAGCTGTTGGAGTCGAAGAGGCGGTTACATTTAACCGTTTCGACAATGAAAGGGTAGGACCGAGATGACAACCTAGTAGCACGCTTAAATTCACACAGTTTGGAAACCAGCGAAAGTAGCTCCTCAGAGCAGTTGCCATGAAAATATTTGTAGAAAAGACAGAGGGAAGCCAAAGTACGCCTGTGAGAAAGTGACTATAAACGAGATGCCAGATCTGGACCTATTACACTGCATATCCGTCTCTGGATTTTCTCAAGGACCTCGAGATGAACAGCAGAGACATCAGACCATATATGGCAGCAGTATTCAATGCAAGCACGAATGGTTGATTTGTAGATTTGAAGCATGGATTCAGGCGGGAAAAAACTTCTGGTGCGACACAGAGAACCAACTTTACTCCCTCTTCCCCACAACAACATTTCTAAATTAGTTCACCAACTCACGGTTGATGGTTACTGTTAAAATGTTTGTGATGAATTGATTCGTTTTTTTACGGCTTATCAACCAATTACAGTTTATTTAAAACCCAACAATAATCTTAGATTGTAAGAAGTTTTTGGAGATAATAATATTTTAGTGATGCCCGTTCTACGAATTAACCCATAGCTGGGTGAGAAGTGATGGATACAAACCTTTCCCAAGTGTATTTGTGTGTAAATGGGAATTAGAAATCGAGTCTCCGATAAACAATACTGTACCATTTTTCATCACACCTCCCGCACATCCATGCTTATAGCAACTGGTATTCTCAAACGGCCACCCATCTTGGTACTGACCTGGCCCAATGTTGCTTAACTTTGGTGATCTTATGGGAACCGATGTTTCAACGTGATGTGGTCGTACGTCTATGCTGAATGAAATGCGTACCAAGAATTTAAAAGTAACTAATATAAAATAAGGAAAAAGAGGTTAGATAACGATTGATCATTAAGTTGAAGTGGTTAAAAAGTTAAGTATTCATGGAAGCATATCAGCTCTGGTAAAAAAATGCAATAATAATAACAGCAACAGAAAACATTGCAATATGAGCACTGGTAAAAATGTTTCTTGAGATATTAGATTTATAAGTCCCTAAAATTCATACCCAAGGACCCATGGCCCAGTGGATAAAGACGTTGGTTAGATCCAGTGACCAAATCCAAAGAGATGTGTAGTTCAATGCCAGGCCAGAGCAGTTGTAAAGAAAAATCTTAGAAAGTTGAGTTAAAGGTAAATAAGTGAGACATTCGGAAGAGGCATGGCACGTGGAACTAGAACCAAAGAAAATAAATAAATAAATAAATGGTTCGTTTCGAAATTCCACTCACACGAGTAAGGACGGACGGGTACAAGGGCCGAAACGTTGTGAATATGGCAATGAAGGTGAGGATAACAGTCTGAATAATATAAATAATGCAAATAGTAATAACACCTCATCTCAGAGATCTAGACAGATCCTGAAGAAGGCCGGAAAGTACAACGGCCGAAACTTTGTAAATATGCCAATAAAGATTAGGATAATAGTCCGAATAATGTAAATAATGCAAGTAATCATAATACCTCATCTCGGAGATATAGACAGATCCTGAAGACGGCTGGGGCGTACAACGACCGAAATGTTGTGAATACGAAGTTGTAAAGGTCTGAAATGTTGGAACCAAAAAATGAAAATCATCTGAATATTTGCTATCGAAAATTAAAAAGAGGAGAAGTGACACGTATGTAACAAAGAATATAATTCTAAAACATATTCTTTCCTTAGACGGCTCCCTTCCGTATTTCCAATTATTTCATGATTCTTAAAGTTTTCGAAATAACTGCCGAGACGTCTCGTATATATAAATTCATTAAAAAGAAAAAAAAAAGTTGTGCAATACAAAACTGTATTGGCGGCCATGTTGGTGGGACACTGGTGGACTAAAGAATGGAGGTCTTATCTGAACATGTGACATGGAAATAGCGATAGGCTTTCAACGTTGACCCCACAGTAATGAATAAATCTTCCCTCATTGGATCATATAAACGATTTTAAACTCATATATATATATATATATATATATATATATTGATTGAGGAAAGGACAAAAAAATGAACCGGGTTCAAGTTGGCAGAAAATGGCGATTGACATTGCATTTGTTCGCATATCGCAGGAATACTCTATTTTGGTTTAATCTGACTCTTGTAAAAAAGATAACGCGTGGTAGAAGGGATTAAGTACTTCCTGAGCGATAGAATCGGCCGATCACTATAAGTGTTGATATGTTGCAGGTGACACATTTAAGGAGTTAAATCGTTGTCAACAGATCGGGACATGATGGTGTTTGGTCTCGTTTTCAAAATAGTTTACGCAGTCATTCTTTAGTTCAGCTTGGCAAGAGTTAGATTAGGTTAGATCAAGAATGCTGCTTGTCTACTATATCTGAGCTGGCGCTGCTCAATCCTAAGTTTTCCGCCTTGATAGCGTTCAAAATTGTCTCGCGTTCTTCTAGGAGATGAATTGTAAGTTTAATGCCTCCGAAACGAAACTGCTCTCATTTAATTAACCACAAGAGAGAAACCTCCCTGCCTCCTATCAGCATGGCTGATGCCCAACTCCACGGGAGTGCCTCTCTACGCCTTCTTGGTTACATGTTTTCACTGACCTGACGTGGAACAGCTATACTGAATCAATAGATTTCATCTACGGCAAGGAAAGTTGGTTCTCTGTGTCGCACTAGAAGGTTTTTCTCGCCTGAATCCATCCTTCAAATCTACAAATCAACCATTCGTGCTTGCATTGAATATTGCTGCCATATATGGTCTGATGTCTCCGCTGTTCATCTCGATGTCCTTGAGAAAATCCAGAGACGGATATGCAATGTAATAGGTCCAGATCTGGCATCTCGTTTATAGTCACTTTCTCACAGGCCTACTTCCCTCTTTCTTTTCATGGTAATTGTTCTGATGAGCTACTTTCACTGATGCTCCAACTGCATAGATTTAAGCGTGCTACTAGGTTGGCATCTCGGTCCCACTCTTTCACAGTCGAGACTTCCCGACAGTAGATCTTCCTTCCTCAGGATGGAGGTGATTATGGCTCTCTACAACTTCCTATCCTTTGTAGCTCTAAGTAATGTTTATCTCATTCCTACGTTTCCCAATCCCTCTTCTAGTTAGGTAGGTAACTCGGTGTTTCTCTCGGTCTCCCATGCCTTCAATACGTCCTTTGGGTGTCAAATTCTCCACGCCCTTTTCTTCCTTATTATGCGCCCTAGAATTGTCTATGGTAACCCCGAAGTTTTCAATGGTAAAAGTGTCTTCGTTCCTATTTTCTTTAAAACTGCCACGTGGCTCACATGTTCCGTTTATAGTATTCCCAGCATCTTTCTATGTGCCGTGTCCTTTCAGGACGTAGGCGATCATGGCTCTCCACCTCCTCCTATCCCTTGCAGCTGTCAACAATTTCCTTCCCTGTGCTTCCTCCCCCAGACCACGTTCTGTCATTTACTTGCTTAAACCCACCAGGTATGTCACGCATTGTTTTCCCTTGTCTCTCTTTCCCTCTATTTGACCTGTGAGTATTGAATTTTCCAGGCCCTCTTTCCTCACTTCAGCTGCCTCTTTCTGATTTTAAGTATTAGACTCCCGTCATAGTAATATATGCATGTATAAGATCAAAATAAAATTTAAGTTATGCTATATTTATGAGTTCTCAGTGTCAGGGTTTGAGCGTATGTAAATATAAAAGTGGACATTGAGATCAACACCCATCGGTGACAGTTTGCTGTTTCATATTTAAATGTAATCTTCAGGCCATATATATATATATATATATATATATATATATATATATATATATATATGCATGTTTAATTAAAAACGACAGACAAGGTACTACAGTTAAGTTTTTTATTTAATTTTTCTTGTGTTCGAACAAGAACTTTCTTTTCTGGATAAAGAGTGCGTAAAAACTGTCCAAATGTTTTATAGTTCCGAGCGCTTTCGGCTATACCTTTAGCCATTATCAAGCCAACTTTTAACAATATTAACTACAAACAAGGCCACAATGTGCTAACCGTATTCGAATTTTAAAAACAGCTCTACAACACACTAAAACATAAACATAATGCACACTGTCAATTAAGCTGAAAAATGGAATCATCCTTGATAATGGCTAAAGGTATAGCCGAAAGCACTCAGAAATATAAAACATTTGGACAGTTTTTACCCTTTTTTTGTCCAGAAAAGAAAGCTCTTGTTAGAACACAAGAAAAATTAAATAAAACGCTTAACCGTAGTACCTTGTCTGTCGTTTTTAATGAAACATGCATAAATGAAGGATTGCTGCCTAAATATACAACTCTCTCTCTCTCTCTCTATATATATATATATATGGTGACGCGTTAGGTCGTTTAGAACATCATCAGACTAAATTGATGTTTACGTTAATGCAACTGTACATGATACGTATGAAGGAAAAGAGGTCGCCGATAATTTAAAATTCATTTTTTGAAAAAAATATATTAAATTGAAAAAAGAAAAAATTGAAATTTAAAATTCTCAGCGTTCCCCGTTTCCGTCCTGTTCTTGTTTCGTCGCATCAACGTAAACATCAATTTACTACTTTACCTGCAAAACATTTATTATTATTTATTAAAATAATAAGAAATGTATTATAAGAAAAATTATCAAAATACTAAAAATAATTTAAATGAATTAAATGAATTCTAATATTAATTGAATCCTAGAACGACTATTACAATACAGGTATAATACAGTACACCTACTTTTTGCTATATATATATATATATATATATATATATATATATATATATATAATATAGAGCAAAAATTATTATTAATTAATGTTTGATATTCTGTAATTAAAATATATATCTATATATATATATATAATATAGGGCAAAATTATTATTTGATATTCTTTAAATTAAATATATATATATATAATATAGAGCAAAATTATTATTAATTAAGTGCTTGATATTCTTTAATTAATATATATATATATACATATATATATATATATATATATATATATATATATATATATATATATATAGAGAGAGAGAGAGAGAGAAGGCAAAATTATTATTAATTAAGTGTTTGATATTCTTTAATTAAAATATATATCTATATATATATAATACAGAGCAAATTATCATTTGATATTCTTTAAATTAAATATATATATATATATATAATATAGAGCAAAATTATTATTAATTAAGTGTTTGATATTCTTTAATTAATATATATATATAATATAGAGCAAAATTATTATTAAGTGTTTGATATGCTTTAATTAATATATATATATACATATACACACACACACATATATATATATATATATATATATAGAGAGAGAGAGAGAGAGAGAGAGCAAAATTATTATTAATTAAGTGTTTGATATTCTTTAATTAAAATATATATCTATATATATATATAATATAGAGCAAAATTATTATTGTTTGATATTCTTTAATTAATATATATATATATATATATGTTTACTGATTGGCGTGTATGAACTTAAGAGGAAAAAGTGAAGAGCATGAGGATATGACAAAGAGACAGCGATTCATCCGAGACGATAAGAGTGTAGTGTTCGGGTAACCGTCCATAAGTAGGTCTATTCTACGAAGTACCAGTTATTCGGAAGAAGTTTTGGGGCGGAACGCCATTCTTACCAAACGAACACATATGGATGATTAAACTCTGTGGTTGTAGCAAGGCGTGTCTTGGCTGAAAATGTGTGAGTTTGTGGTACCAAAGAATTTGCCATGGAGATAGCAACAGAGTAGTGATAGCCTTGCGAGGTTGTGAAATGATTGAAAATAAGTTATCGTCTATAAGGCCGCAT